GAGACCAAGGATTTTCCTCCCGTGGATGCACAAAGGCACCTGTGTTTGTGAGATGAGCGCCTGGGGAAGGGGCTCTGCACGCCCCGCTCTGATACAAAAGGCTGACACTTGTGCCACACACCCCTCCTTGCGCTGATCAGAGCACCCCAGAGCATTACACACTGATTACCGCAGAATCCAGAGGACCAGCCATCCTCCCATGCTGACCAGACACCGGCCAGGGAGCCAGACACCCACAAAGGCTGCCAGAGTCCCCAGCTGTAACCACAGCACCCACAAGCCACATCCCAGAAGCCAGGACGACCCCAGGGGAGGCGCATTCTGACAGCCAGCCACACGCTGCCCTCCAGCCTGAGGTGAGGGGAACCTGGCGGGATCCAGAGAAACAGCACACCAGGGACTTCGGGGGAGGCTGCTCCTTGGGGACCCAGCTGTCTTCCTCACCCAGCGTGCAGTCAGCCGAAATAGCAAAGAAGAAATAGAGTGTCCGCTCCCCCCGGACACCCTAGGGGCTCCCTTCTTGGTGTCCATTTGTTTTTTGGGGTTTTTTTGTTTTTTTTTTTTTAGTGGAGAAGGAATACTGCGTAGCATTTAAGATCGGAAAATTACCGGAAAAGGAGATGCCCCCAAGTCCCGGCATTGTTCGTGCCGAGCCCAGCAGCGCTGTTCTTGCATTTGTTCGTCCATGTGAAAATGGACCACCCTGTGGAGACCCTGCGCTGTGTATGGTGTCAGACAGGCGATTGCTTTGTGATTCTTGTCACTTTGTCACTTGAGTCTTGAGAGGCAGATGTTCTTCAGTTCTAAACTAAACTGTGGGCCTTCACATCTTACCCTCAAAACGTCTCTGAAGACGGCACTCTAGAAGATGTGAGACTTGGGAAAACCTGGGCCCCATGGCCCATGGTGCAGGGGTGTCCATGAGGCTCTGTGTTCCAGTTCTCAGCCTCGCTCAGGAGCAGGGTGTCCCAGCTCTCCCGGAGCTGTTGCTGGGTCCCAAAGGGACAAAACGGGGGGGTGGGGCTGTCTTCTGTCTCTAGACCGTTCACTTAAAAGTCCCCAACAACCTGTTCATCAGTATTTTATTCATGGTGTTCAGACCTATCCTGTAACCACAGGGCCTTTGTGCCTGCTTCATACACACCCACACAGTGATCACAGTGAATCCTAAAATTGCTGTCGTGGCACACTTTGGCCCAAGTATCTTGCAGCTGTGGATTCTGTCCTCATTTGTATCTTCATTATTTTTCTAATTTGGCTTTTTCCAGCTCTGCCATCATCCCAGGATTTCCCCTCAAAAAGAAAGTAGTCTCAGATGAGTCTGGTCCTGAGGGTTTGCGTAGTTGGCTCTTACCTAGGATGTGCAACGTAGTCGTGCACTGTAGGGTCATCAGGGCCCGCTACTTGCTGACCTTCAGCTGGACTTCAGGGCTTCAGTGTCCATCAGCCCCTCCCTCCCTGGTGCCTTCTAGGCATCGCAGCATGCAATTGAGTGTCTTTATCTGAAGTGCTGGAGACCAGAAGTGTTTTGGCTTTGGGAGGTTTTTGGACTTGGGGATATTTGCATACATTTTAGTGGTTGAGCATCTGAAGTGCCCACCTGTAGCACAAAGATTTTGGATTTCAGAGTCTTGCAAGTTTTGGGTTTTCAGATTACAATTGTTCGACCTTTCGTTGGCCACAGTGGTCCATCTGTGGGGTCTCCATCATGTCTTTCGTCATGGATTGACTCCTGGGCCCCAAGGAAATACAGACAGAACCTGAGTCTTTGAGGGCATCCCCGGCCTCATACAGCCCAGGAGTGAGGGCAGGGCCACTGGTAGCTTCATGGTGTGGATTAGCTCACTTTGAGCTTTGCTACCCAACCAAAATTCCACCCTTTAAGTTGGATAAGAGACTGTGTGTCTCCCTTCCAAAACATTGAGAAGAATGTTGAACAGGGCAGGATGCAGGAGTCCCATGGTAGGCCCTGTGACCATCCCCAGGACCCTCCCAGTGGAATCTCCCAAAGTGTTGTCCAGCCCTGGAGCACAACCACCTTCCTTTTGCTGACCCCCAACACATGCGACCTGCACATCCAAGTGAGCACTGGAGGTGACAGAGCATTGCAGAAGACCAAGGAGGCAAAGGGTACAAGGTGGTGGCTCCCCTCAGCAGAGTTAGGGGCTATGAGGAAGAAGACCAAGCACAGGGCGGCCCCGGCTGGGCATTCACCTGTGATCCGAAAAGGCGATGTTTCAGTAGGACAGACAACTGGGAGCTGGATGGAGAGAGAGCGCTGGACAGGCGTGTGCACAAATGTGTGGCACAGCTCTGTGCCAGCAATGAGGAGGAGTCTAGAGGGCAGAGTGAAAGAGCCTGCAGGGTGGGTGTCCCCGGCGGAGGTCCATGCATAGGAGGGGTCATCCGCTTTGGGGTAGAGGAAGTCATTGCTAAATCCGGGTCCCCAGGAAGGGACAGGCGATCCGATAAAGGAAGCAGGAGGAAGGGGGGAGGAAATGGACCAGAGACTTCCAGGAGAGGCAGAAATGTTTAGTGACCCAGAAATGACTAGAAAGGAAACTGTCCAGGGTCAGTAGAAGAGCAGTGGTGGGGGACAGATTTGCAAGGCAAGTCAGAGCGACAGGAATGGACAGGTACTGTAGGGCACGTGGTCAGAAACTTGCAAGAAATAGGTCCTCATGTTCCTGTGAGCGTCTAGCGCTGTTTCCTGAGTTGATTTCCCATGCATAGGTACATTTTGTTTACATAAGTATTGGGGCAAGGCTGAACCGTACTGTAGCAGTCTCCCTGGAAAGTTTTGTCTTCGCGTGAAGTATTGAAGGTATTAGAGCAGAGCCACTGCTTTACATGACTCAAATCACGTAGCTGTTCCCGGCACATCTCACCAGCTCTCTGCTGTGCTCATCACGTGGTGTTTGGTCCTGTGTGCATGTGTGTGTGTGTGTGTGTGTGCGCAGACACACATAGAAAGCCCATTCTGCCTCCTGCCCTACTCCCAACCTGGCAGCTGGCGGGGCAGCGGGAAGGCAGCTGGGAGCCAGTGCCGAAGCGCCACACCTACACCCAGCCAGTCCAGCTCTGCCTCTGCATCCTCAAAACGTAGCTCTTGCTTCCAGCAAGAAACTCACAACACAGAAGCTCTGTGACATTCAGTGTGCAGGCAGCTAACTGGGAAGCTCATGGTTGTAATTTTTTCACATGACAACCCAATAAATCCTGATCGCAGGGAGTTTTTATGTGAGCATTTGAATTTCACAGATTTAAGAAGGTACCCGGCTATTTGGTAGAGCTCCTAATGAACAGTTGCCACGGTCCACCCATGAATTACCAAGTTTTCTTTCTGGCCTGTGAATTATGTGGCTCTTTCCTCACCCTACCTGTCAGTTCACTGGGAGAACTTTGCATAAGATACATGTATTGGGGTACTGTCATGCAAGAATCTGTGTGGAAAAGGTTGTAATTCATGGAATTAGGAAATAAAAACCCAAGGATCAAGAGGCCACCCCTTTTAGAACCCACAGATGTGGTGATTCAGCCAGTAGTAGGAGGCTGTAGGTCTCCTGGGCCGCCCCTGCACAGTGAGTCCCAGTGTGGTCTCCCTCTGCATGAACACGGGGGTGGCTTGTTTTTCAAATCCAAAGGTAATAAATGGGAGTGAAGCTCCTGATAAATCTCTTGCTTCTGAATTCTGGTCACTAGGTCTACAGAAATCAGAAAGCTAAGGGACTGATAGAGCAGGGAAACTCGCCTTTGTTACCCTAAGGGAGCCAAGGACTCCCCAAGTCTCCTGTCTCCCGGGGAGCTCCAGCCCCTCTCTGATCCTTGCAGGGGGTCAGAAGCTTCACCTGCCAGAGTCCCGGCCCGGCCCCACCAGGCCCCAGACCTCGCCCCTGCCACAGCACCTTTGAACCTTTGGAGGAGTCACACATGGGCCGTTGAGAGCCAGGGGAGGCCTAGACCAGGAGGACAGCATCTCAGCCACAGGAAGTGGCCACTTTGTTTCCTGAGGCTCAAGGGAACAGGGAAGGAACAGCTGCTGTGGCTCCCGAGACAGCAAGCGGGAGGTGGCACCAGGTTGCAAGTGAATCCAGAGCTGCAGAGCACCTGGTGAAGCAGGTTGAGGGTGAGAAATTGGGCTTGGCAGTGGGGCCAGAGGGGCCGAGAGCCTGGAGATTGGAGGTATTTCAGTCACAGGCAGCAGCCGAGCAGTGGTGCCTGTATAAGGTGACAGTAGGTAGCTAAACACCTGCTCCCCAAGCAGTTGTCACGCTGCTAGTGAGTCCTGGCCCGTGAGATTGCGCTCCAGTGAGACCTGGTACCAAGAGCCATCCCTGGTTTCCTGCTGGCTGGTTGTCACTGGTCCCAGCTCAGGCTGGGCCGGTGCTAGCAGTAAAAGGGCCACAAGTCCTCGTGGGAGGGCTGCCACGGGCCACAGCCGTGCCCACATGTGTTCGCACAGTGCGTCTCTCTCACAGGGAGCGAAGTGGACTTGGGCTTCAGCTGGGCACACAGTGTGGGGCGTAGACTTGGTCCCTCCCTCCTCCCTCCCTGGCCCAGCTCTGTGTCCTGGGTGCCTGCAAATTTCAGCTGAGGCCCTTCCAAGTTGAGCCGCCCCGGAAAGCTAGTCCCACCTCACCAGGCCCTCGCCTTCCAGCCTGCCTTTGCTGGGCTTGACCTGGACCTGTGCCCACCTTTCCTCCTTCAGACGCGGAGGGCAGCAGTGAGCTACCGGCTGACTTCCCTGAGTTGCTTGGCCTGTGCCCAGCACGTGCACTGACATTGCCTACTGGGCTGTCATTTTTCCCTGTCCCCGAGGATTGGCCAAACCTCAGCTGAGCCCACTGCTTTAGGAAGCACGTCCAGAATGCTCGGTGCGTGCGGGCCCAGAGCTCCGCCGCCATAGTGGCTGGGTCCCGTGGGAGCCGTTGAACCCGGGCCTGGCAGATGCACTGCCGGCTCATGAAGGTAAGTGCTTCGTCCCCGCCACTGTGTTTCAGAACAAGAAGAAAACTTTGAGTTCATCATTGTATCCCTCACTGGCCAGACGTGGCACTTTGAAGCTACCACATACGAAGAGCGAGATGCGTGGGTCCAAGCCATCGAGAGCCAGATCCTCGCCAGCCTGCAGTCCTGCGAGAGCGGCAAGAATAAGGTAAGGCCCTCAGCAGCCTCCCCTGAAATCAAGGCCACTGATCAACCCTTAAGGGGGAAGAAGGCCCAGAGCGATTACCCAGGGAGGACAGAAGCTGCGGACACCAAGACTGGGCCTTCTCTCTGAGCAGAAAACTCAATAATCGTAAAGATTGAAGCACCCCTGTCTGTCTGCGTCGTACACCGTGCCCAGATGTCCTCACTTGACCACCTTATGTGGCGGGACATCTGGTGCTAAGTCTTTATCCACTAAATCCCACATCACAAGTGCTGGCGTTGTATTACAGGGGCAGGTGAACGGCTTCTGTGTCCACGTTTACGTTTTGTTGTTGTTATTTTGGGGGGCAGAATGAATCAGAAAAGAAGGGACAGGAACTTAGAAGATGCAGCGTTCTGTTCTCATCAGTGTCCGAAATGCAGGCCCAACTTGGAGAAGCCACTCTGGTTGGGGGAGAGAAATGAAAAGGAGCAGCATGGATAACAGCATGCAGGGAGTTTGGGAAGAGAAGCTCCAGATGAAGAAGATATGTGTGTGTGTGTGTGTGTGTGTGTGTGTGTGTGTGTGTATGTTATTCAGTAACTAAAGGTGATTAAATGTTTTAGAGTTGTTTGGCAGAAATTATGTACCTCGGCCTGTATTTCCTAGGCTACTGCTTAGTTAAGTGAGATTTTTTTCTGTTGAAGTTATTTTTTCCATAGAGTTCCTTCACTTTTACTGTTTTGATGCTTGAATGTTTTAAACCCCTTTGCTGGGACATTTAGACTTCACAGCGGGCGTTTTGAGTTGTTCAAACCGATCAACTAGAACCTGAGAGAAAGGACATTGCCCACCACCCTGCTATTATTTGTAACCATTTAAAGAAATTTCTGCTGGTCATTTATGACCAGCTTTGTCATTAAGAAGAGATTCTGTCTTTCAGGAAGAAAGACTGTCTTATTTTATTGCCCTCTTTAACCAGAGTAAACCAGACCGTAGTCATTATTATTATAATGTAATTTGCTTCCTTTTGGAAGATGTTTCACACCCAAGGTGGGAACAATCGCTGTCTTTTATTCTGAGCGCTCTGGGTCCCTGGGCCACATCTACCTGTAGCCACACAGTCACCCCCTCAGGGAACACAGGAAGCCTTTGGTGTCTTCATCAGGAGAGAGCCGCAGAATATGTCCAGCACCAGGAACAGGGACCTAATATGGGAGCGGAAGGGAGGGAAATGTGCCTGTGGGTACTTCAGGGTGACATAGAGGACAGACAGACCGACCATTAGAGTTACACAGCCACAAAGAAGAAACCAGGCAGGCAGTTTACTGTTCCATAGCGAGCCATTCATTGTTTTACATCCAAGAGTTTGACATGAAGTGGTCAAAAGTCTGAAAAATTCCTACTCCGAATATCTAGTTTATTCTATGTGTCTCCCTGAAATTGATCGATTTTTGCTTTAACCAGAATATCAAAGGCATATTTAATAAGTCAGCCTTAAAAATCCCACCTGTCCTTTGTACCTAGCACCTCCCCTTCCAGGAGTTCATCCCTAGCAAATAACCATGAAGGTGCATGAAGATGCAACTCTAAGCACGGTCTTTATGGCCCTGTTTAGGACAGAGGAAAATCGGAGCAACTGAAATATCTACCAAAGAGAACTTGATAAATAAGTCAGTCCTCAGAGAGTGCAGTTCTGTGCAGCCATTGAAAATGATGATATCTGAGTTTAAGTCAAGGCACTGAAGGACAAACGGATGACGTTAGGCTAAAAGTAAAAAGGCAGGTTCCAAAGCAGCAGATGCTGTGCTGCCTCAGAGTACACACCTGTACACAGGTGTGCTTAGAAGAAAGCTCAGAGGAGCAGACAGCAAAATGTCAGTAATTCAGTATGGTGACCGTACGTCCTTCTCCCTCTCTGCAGTTTCCAAACTTACTACAGTGAGCGTGTATCTTTAAAATCCCTTCCAAAGAGAAGCATCAAGTACTGTATAAGTTTAAGAAGAAATGCCCCCATGGGTGGAGGGTTTGGCTCAGTGGTTCTGCCGCCTGCCTCACAAGTGCAAGGACCTGAGTTTGATCCCCAGTACCAAAAAAAAAAAAAAGAGTAAATGCCCCCAAATGCACTCACATGCTTCTCTGCCCAGATGGGGGTCTGTGACTTTGTTACTGTCACCATCGAGAAATCCTCCCAGGGACAGCGAACCTCCCCACAGTAGCGTCCTGTTGCTGGGGCTTTCTCACGGGAACCGTAGGGCTGTGTCCCGCGGTGTGAGGAAGCCCTGCCTCTTGGCTCAAAGACAGATTTTTTTTTTACCCTCATTCTTTAATCTGTACCAAGTGCCAGTGGAGGTACATGAACCAGTACCTTCTGCAGGTGGCTGAGGCCACACAAACAGGGCCTTTCCTTTATTCTCCTGTTGGACACAGACCATCTCAGCTGGTAAATCCTGCGTGTGATGCCTCTCCCTCCCACACCTGCAGAGGAGCAGTGGCTTGCAGACTGGCCCTGTCCCATCCCTGTGCACCATCCACCTCTCCTGTCGTCCCCAGTGTGATCAGAAGGGGCGTTGGTTCCTCCCGGGCCACTCACGTGTCACCTTGTTCTCTTCCTCTGTGCCCAGTCCCGGTTGGCCAGCCAGAGTGAGGCCATGGCCCTGCAGTCCATCCGGAGCATCCGCGGGAACTCCCACTGTGTGGACTGCGACACCCAGAGTGAGTAGGGGACCCATGTAGGTGTGGACCCTCGTCTGTCTGTCTTGTGGTGGAGTAGGGTCCAGGGTGTTTTATTCCTGTCTGGGTTCTACTTTACACCACACCCACACACAGCCCTGCTGACAGGCTGTCCATTTCCCATACGCTGGGACAGAGCCCAGTGAGGGGAGGCCGGCGGGATGAGTTGTGGTCACCTGGGGCAGTGGGGAGCACCACCAGCTGCTCCAGGCAGACAGGAAGAGAGGAGCCACCCCTGAGAGGCCGCCCATTGGCAGGCCTGGGAGGGGAGCAGCAGGGCTGCCACAGGAGTCTCCTCCAAGCGGAAAGGGTTTTCTTCGGGCTCCTAAAGCTGCATCTTTTAAACATCTTCTTTGGTTTGGATTTTAAAATTTTAGTTTCAAATCATAAGGTGCAATGGAGCTAGAAAAGAGGAGCAATTATCCGAAGTGTTTTTTTATCAGAAAGTTTTCAAAGTAGGTTTGGCAGGCACAGGCCCTGAGACACGAGGCTATCGGTTAAGGCAACGTTGCCGCTGTTTCTCACATGCAGCTGAAGACCCCTCACCAGGGCCAAGTCTACAGGTCCCAGGGAACTCGGCCTGTGGTGCCCTGGAGTCACCAGTCCTTTTGGAGGCAAGGCAGGCGTGGGGTTTGGGGTGGGCAGGGAGCCTGGGGGCCCAGTTTGTGTCTCTCGAGGCCACCGAGCAGGTGGATAGGGGACAGGATAAAAGCAGAGTCAGACAGTTGGGGAGGAAGGGAGGCCCGCAGGCCTCCTGTTACACCTTCACCAGCTTGCTGAGTTCTCCCACAGGCCGAGATGCTCTGGGGTCTGAGGTGTAGCACAGAAGGAGACAGTACCTCAGCAGAGACGGGGTCTGGGGGCACTTTGGGGGGCTTGGCTTTCTGAGACAGTCTCCCTGTCCAGTCCAGGCTGACCTTGAACTCTTAACCATTTTACCTCAGCACCCCAGCCCCAGGATTACAAACGTTCTACCCACATGCCAGCTTCCACAAGAGCTTTCTTTATTTTTAATAAAAACCCTCTACTCGGGTGCAGGTGCTGGGAAACCTAGGTGAAATGTGGGTGCCTTGGGAAAGTGGGTGCCCTGCAGGCAGGGGCCCTGGCTTTGGTGATGTTTCTTGGGGCTGTCTCTAGGGCCCCGAGGCAGAAGCAGCCCAGGTGCCTACAGCTGCAGGGCAGTGGGGAGTCCGCTGGTGCAGGGATGACACCGCTTCTCTTGGGGACTCTAGGTGGCGACACTTAGGTTTGGGGACCTTTGTATGACACAGGATTTGGAGCCATGGAAACGCCCTGCTCCCAGGGCTCCTGCCAGTTTCATCCCAGACCAGCAGGAGGCGCCTCCTCTGTCTGCACTCTTGTCCCAGAGCACACGCTGGGTGGGTTTCCTCTGCTTTGGGGGTGCTTGTCTGTAAGGGGGTCTAGAAGCCAGTGAATTGGGAAACACAGCCCTGTCCACCACCTAGGGGGTCTCAGCCTCAGCAGAAGCAGTGCTGTGCGGAGGTGGGTGAAGGAGCCAGGTGGGTTCTGAGTTGTGGTGTGAGCAGGCCGGCCGCCTCTCATGGTTGTGACTGGGAAGTGGTGGGGGTGGCGGGGGGAGTGCACAGCTGAAACTGCGAGCAGAAGCTGCAGCCCTCCCTTGACGGTGGGTCCAAGAAGCAAGGGTCGGTCAGGCACAGTGGGGCACACAGCTGTAATCCCAGCATCTGGGAGGCTGCAGCAGGTGGGTGGAAAGTTGAAACCTGGCCTGGGCATCTTAGCAATTTAACAAGACTCCAAAAATGTAAAGGAGGTCTGCGATATAGTTCACTGTGAAGGTTCAAACTCCAGAACTGTGGAAAGAAAGGAAGAGAAGGCAGAGTCGGATTCGAGAGTGTTCGGGAACCCTGTGGTCAGCTATGAGTATGGCGAAGATCAGGGGTGACTCCCAGGCCCTGCTGCGATGGCTGGGCCAGTCCTGGGCACTTAGCTGGGTAGAGAGGACACTGTTGGCAGACAGGCACCTGCAGGACGTCCTGATGGACACTGGTAGCTCGGGAGTAAGCAGGGGTGCTGCAAGCAGCTGCTACCTTCCAGGGAACACATGGGTGGGAAGAGCGTGGAGTAGGAGAGGAGCCTGCAGCACCCCGAGCAGAGGGGCGCATACAGGAGGAAGCCCTGGAAAAGGTGGAGAAGAGTCCCAAGAAGGACCGGTGGGGCCAATCCAACCAGCAAGAGGGTGAGGGACACAGCCATGGCAGAGGCTGGTGGCTGTGGCAGCTGTTTCTCAGTGGGCAGGGGCGGTAAAGGCTGGGTTGTAGAGGACAGAGGTGGCCCGGTAAGAGCGGGGCTGGGGAGCGAAGGTGGGTACTAGGCGAGCGCAGCCAGCGGGGAAGTTGTAGGAGCTGCTGCCAGGCTGTCCTCTCCCTAACAGCCCCCGGGGGGAAGTCTGACCTCCACCAGCCACTTCCCCTGGCCCTGAGCATTTCCTCTTCAGACTCTTGTTGGCATGGAGTCTCTTCATTTCTTTGTTCTATCTTGTTTTGTTCTTCATCTGGGACCTAGGTTCCCCTTCCAGCCAGAAAGTTTCCAAGGCCCAGACCTCTCTCTCCCCACCTCCATGGTATCTCTGGACCACTTGGTGGGAGTATTCTCTGGGTGTCAGGAAGTGGCTGGCTGGTTTTGATCACTGCACATCTGGCCATTCCTGGTCATCACCATTGTACAACAAAGGACATGTCCCCAGGGAGCAGCTATGACACAGCTATCTGGCTTCCCATTTCCTCTCGTAGTACAGCTGGAGAGGGCGGTGACCACCCCTAGAGGAGCTAAGCCATGTTTCCTTCTGTCAGCAGTGAAAGCCTTGGACCATCTCGGTCTGCTGGTCTTCGCACACCAGCCATAGATTCTAGCACATAGCCAGCCCTGGACCTGAGTTCCTGGTTCTCTGAGGGTGTCAGCCAGTTCCAGGCACTGACTGGTCTCCGCCAACGCCCTGGCTCATTGTCCTGGGAGCAGTATTGCAGCTTAGAGTGTCCCCCTTCATGTTACAAGTCCCCGTGGTGGAGCTGGCCAGCCCTAGCCACAGGACCCTGTCCCAGCAAGGCCACAGGGAAGCATGGCGTGCCCTGGCTTTCTGCTGTGGTCCCTTTCAGTGAGACCCCACATCACCTGGCTTTCATGTGGGAAATCTGCACACACTCGCATCCTGGGCCTGAGGGAAACCCTGTGTAGCAGAAAGCGTTCTGAGGGGCGCGCAGTAGATTCAGAAGTAACCTGAGTGAGCTGTCCACAGCTGCCCCTCACTCCCCTTCCCATGGCCTCTGACTGCTCGTTTCTCAGGTGCCCAGGCCCCCGGGAAAGAGCAGAGCAGTCTGACTGCTCTGTGTGACCCCCTCTTCCTCTCCCCGCAGACCCTAACTGGGCCAGCTTGAACCTGGGTGCCCTCATGTGCATTGAATGCTCAGGCATCCACCGGAACCTAGGCACCCACCTGTCCCGGGTGCGCTCCCTCGACCTGGATGACTGGCCCATGGAGCTGATCAAGGTGATGTCGTCCATCGGCAACGAACTGGCCAACAGCGTGTGGGAGGACAGCAGCCAGGGCCGGACCAAGCCCTCCCTAGACTCTGCCAGGTAGGACCCTGGGGGCCCCGGCACAGCCCCGCTGTGCAGTGCCACCTACTACACGGAGATGCCTGTGTCACAGCTGGCCCGCCGCAGTCTGGGTGGCTCATATGCCCTCGTATTTCATGTGTGTCTCTAGGCCATGGGGATCTCTCCCCGTCTTAGAAACATATTCCGCTTCTAACCTTATGAATATATTACTTTAATTAATACATTTCTAATAGGCATAAGCTGTGCTGACGCTAATTATGAGTTTTCAGCCCTTCCGTTTTGTTATTCTCATATCTTGGGTAAGCATCTGCTCTGTTGTGCCCCCGCCCCCACCAACAAGTGAGTTCATGGTAAGAAAATGTATTTCATTTTTGAAAATGTACTTCTAACACATTTAGAAACTCCTCATTAACGTTAACTGTTATCCAATGTAAAAAAAAAAAAAAGAAAGAAAAAAAAAAAAAAAGAAAGAAAAAAAAAAAAAAAGAAAGAAAAAGAAAAAACATGCCGTGCATTTTGAGGCCATTTAGTTTCCCATTTTTCATTTACAGCTGTGATAAATGGGTTTTGAGAGCACACACACATCTCTAATGCTGCGTAGGGCCAGAATTTAGCTCAGTGGACTGCACCTGTTTTGAAAGCGCAAATCCTGAGTTCAATCCCCGGTACCCAACCAAAAGTGAGAGACACTTAATGCTGAGGGAGTGAAAGTGGCGCATTAGGAGCCCACTTCCTCTGTGCCCTGGGTGCTCAGTGGCTGTGTGCTCTGTGTCCCACTCCTGAGGCAGGGCTTTGGGGTTTTCGTGCAGTAGCCTCTCCAGTGTATGACCGGCCAAAGGGAGAGGAGGCGGCTCCCGTGATGGGTACGTTAGGTTTCTCTGATTATTTTTGCTGGTGATCAGATAGAAAAGCCAAATGGTAATCAATCCTCAGTTTCCCCCATGGAGCAGCAATCACCGGAGAAGAGCCGGTGGCCTGGATTTCAAGTGTGCTGCAAAATGAATGCCTACGCCTCCTTGGGTGGGCAGGAGAAGGAGCTGGCGGGTGTCTGGGAGCGCAGGAAGTGTGTTTGTTAAAAATATCGTGCTCTTTTTGAGTTGTACTCTACAACGCAGACGTGAGTAACTTTCGTACAGATGCTCCTGATTTGAACATTAACATGGAAATCAGCTGTAGAATTCTTTCTTTAAAAATCCTATTTCAGTATCGATTTTTTTCATCGATGTATGTCATGGAGAGAATCTCTATCTGAAAATGCAAGATGATTGGAAACTAGAGCCAGGTTAGTGTATGAATGAAGAAACTACTGAAAGAAGTTTGAAAAATTAACTTTATGCTCCTCATGGTTTAGGTTCAGAAGGAACACAAATACTCTTTTTTAATATCAAACATTTTTTTTCTAGCCATCAAAATTAGAAACCATTGGGAGTAGCGGGTATCACTCAGTCAGGGAGGATTTACCTAGAATGCTCAAGGCCCTCGGTTTGATGGCCAGTCCAAGAAAAAAAAACAATGATTAGAAACAAACTTGTGGATTAATTTTTAAAGTTATATATTAATTCCATCTTCATTCACAAGTGAACATTCTATAGGTATGCGATAGTTTTAACCTACATATTGAAGCTCTTGAGTCTGTAACTTTCTATCCCACCTACTATCATGTACCTCCTATACCTCCTATACAGTTTAGGGGCGTTTTGGGATCTTCCTCTCACAAATGGGGTAACCACGGTCCAATCCTGTCCTTTTGTGACCACACTGGCAAAACAGTGAGTGAAAAGTCTGAGTGCTGTGAGAGGTGGACAGTCTCAGGGCCCGCTGAGGTTGCCCGGGCTTAGTAGAATTCATGGTGGGTGGAGCTTTCCGGCCTGTGCGCGTGGACACTTGCACTGCAGAAAAAGCATCTGAGGGGGCCTCACAGCCAGAGCGGTCTCAAGGACTGGGCTGGGGGAGAGGTGGGCCTCGGAGGCTGCAGTGGTCCAGGCAAAGAAAGGAACACAGTAGGAAAGCTCAGCCTGCCAACATCTGTGCACCTCAGCCTGCTGGGTGGTTGGAAGGTTCAGAGAGGAGACTAGAGGCCACTGTGGTCCCCAGGGAGCATCAAGGACACCTGAGAGACGCGGCCCAACATTACAGGAACGGTGCAAACACTGCTCTCCCCACCACCTGCACTCTTCCGAGACAGACATGAAACCCTGCGGAGTGGCCACCACCCCAGGGGCATGACAGTGAGCCCTGTCCTCCAAGATGCCCCTCACGCCCACCCGCCCTGCCCAGCTCCTTGCTGCTTCTCTCTTAGCAGAAGCAGCCGAGGGATCTTTTGATGTGGCCCAAAGGTAGTACCCACGAGAAAGCTCTTCATCAGCATTTACGTCTAAACAAGGAAAAGCCAAGTCTTGCTCTTTACAGAGGTGCGCTGGTGATCTGCAGTCAGCTCTTGTTTGCTCCATCTTGCTCAGAAGATTCATTCTGACAGTGGGATAGAATTGGAAACGTGCCATTCGCACACACACACAAGGCAGATCTTTCCCCAGTGAAACAACCCGTCCCCAAAACACCGCACATGGGCGTCACCCAGGCTTGCTGGCAGCTGAGGACTCAGGCGCCCGGCACAGCTGGCTGGCCTTCTTCCTGTTGGCCTCGCACCCCCATTAGGGCAGCTCCAGAGGGCTTATAATTGGCTCCAGGGCTTCTCAGCTGCTCTGAGAACTGCCGTTCAGACTTGAGCGGCACCATGATCAATGGAAGCTGACGGCAGCTAAAGCACTATTGACTTCCCCTTCCTAAACAGGGGATCATTAGTCAAGGAAAGCATCTTTTAATTACTCCCAGGAAAGGGGGGAAAATCTTTTGGATGGATTCTGCAGCAGCTGACATTTTTTCCAGCACATTCGATATTAAATTTATTGTCGCAGGAGGGGAAAAGATGTCCTTCATCCCCCTCTGTAATGGGGGTTTAATTTGGAGAGAGAATCACGCTAGAGGAGAGATCAATGGGATAACAATTAACTACATCTGGGGTGGGAGTCCCCTCTAATTGCTATTGATACCATTTAAGCACACACTTAAAATATTGATTTTAGTGGGAACGGTTAAGTGGTGTAGAGGTAGGAAGAGTGGGCAGAATTAAGCAAGTTTGGGGGTTAAGGGGAGAGTTTATGTGTTGGGCCACAGTGGATATGTTGCAGAGCAGATCCAGGAGACACCAGGCAGGCAGGGCCCTGGGTTCCGGTGTGGGGACCGGATAGCTGTCACCTCTAAGGAGAGACCTCCGAGCTCCTTCATGACCATTCCAAATGCAGGAATAAGAAACTTGGAGGTAAGAGGCATCACAGTCAACCTTTCCCGCCAGATGAATAAGAGGGAGGGAGGCGGTGGTCGTGTCACACATGTCAGGTGCCCTTGTCGCATCAGGCCCTCGGGGCTCCTCGTGTGTTCACGGGATGGTGTCATAAGTAAAGCCTCTGGGGCCACCCAGCAGCACCGTGACCAGGAGTTGTTTGTCGTCACCCCTGCTTGCAGGAGGGGGCCCTTTGTACAGACCGCAGTGGCGGTCATTTCCTCCCAGACCAGAGCAGAGCCCTCCGGGCAGAAGTGCCCTCTGCTTGGCCTCCTGGGCTCCCTGCCTCCACCTCTGTCCCAGCCTCGCGGCATCTGACAGGGAGGGTCTGCCGGGACCTCGCCATCTGCATTTCCGCGCAGGTAGCCTATTGCGGCGCGTGGGAGCCTGCTGAGGTGGGCTGGGGAATCAAAGCCACCTGGAAGTGTAGGGCTGCGCTTCCGTCCCCATGAAAGAGCTCTCGAGAGAAGCTCTGAAATCGCCACTGCCTCTTTGATGCCACTTGGAGTTGGAGGATTTAGTACACATCCTTTCCCCATTTTTAGCACCCTTTTTTCCTTTTTTTTTTAATTTGTAAGTTCACCTCCCTGCCTAAACTCCCTTCTTGTCTCTAACCTATGAAAAGATGTCGCCTTCGATAGGAAGATGAGGGCCCACATCAGAAACCCGCGTGGGAGAGACCGGCCGCACACTTGCAGGCAGAAGCAGTCCGCCCCACGCGGGGAGTGCTGTCTCCTTTTGATTCCCAAGCACCGCTTTCATCTTATTTATGCACATGGAGATATTGATAAAGGGGAAATGTAACCAAACTGAAAATAATTGGATCCCTGCAGCCGACTCTGAGATATTAAAAGCAGCACCACTTGGCCGCGTCTTTGTCTTGTTCGGTTTGATCATGAAGATCACAATATCCTAATCTGAGGCTCAAATTTCTGGCATAAAGATGCGCTGTTCCAAATGTGGCCTCGGGAAACATCAGTGCCCACGCAGCCCCAGGATTGTCTCATCTGATTATTTTTCAACAGTTCTCGACCCGCCGAGGTCAGTGTTTTGTCTCTTTTGAGTGGTTCCTCTGTGCTTGACACCTTTTCCTGTTCTCTTTCTTTAAAAAAAAAAAAAATGGGGAGCGGGGAGAACTGGGAGAAACAGAAAAAAGGACTTTGCTGTGATGACCAGAGTCCATCTGCAGTTGGGTGGCATCTGCTCCCCACATGTCACTTCCCTCATTAACAAGCAATTGAATTAATTAAATGCTACTCAGAACACGCATAACAAGCTACCGGCAGTGTCCAAATTAGCACTGATAATCAAGGATGATTTCCTTTATTATCCTGCTAAGTGGTGTGCAGACTCTGGTCTCCCTGCCTGCCCTCATCTATTTACACACCCCCGGCCTCTGCCTTTGGAAGCGGAGGTTATCTTACCTAGTTAATTTGCCACGATCACCGAGCATGGCGGATTGATGCCCTGCCCCGCCGCCACTCCGGTGTGCCGTCCCCTCCCCGCTGCCCTCCCCCAGCCCCAGCCTTTGTAGCTCAAGCTCCCTGATAAATTAAAGGCCACCCCTGTGGTCTCTCAAGTGAGTAATAGAGGCAGAAATTTCATTTTGCAACTGGCTGATTTAATGATCCAAAGGGTAATTAATGGCCTGATTATCTTAATGTTAAATATGTCCGGC